TTGAGTTAATATATATACACATGTATATATATTTGTAGATAATAACACTTATTTATAAAAACAACATCCATTCGTACAGGAGTGCATCTCTGGCTGGTTATCGTGATATTGTTATGCTTTCCTTTTATATTCTCCCATACTACTTATATCTTTAATTTTTAGTGTACATACTTTAGATCTGCAATTTTTCCATATATGTACTCAAATGCATTACTGTGAATTATACCGCAATAATATTTACTATGGATCCTGTACAGTGTTCAGTTGAAGACCTAAACGTAACACAAGGACTGTGCGGTCTTCAATCTGATATTAAAGCTTGTATACTACATGTATATGCGGTCTATAACCAATATATATATATATATTTTACCTACATTGTATATTGCAGACCAAATCTAATTAATACACTATTCTATGGGAGTTATCACCCTTCCCCCACCCACACCATATTTTATATAATAACCTTATTATGTAAATATCTAATTAGATTTACAAATGTTAATTTTTGACAGTAAGCAAAATCTTATTATTATAAATTCAATCCATTATGTCCATATACCTACCATCAATGGAGAGGACTTATATAGGCTATAAGCCTGTTGTCCAATCCTTTTGACAGTGTAACATTCTTCTATGTCAATAAAACATGTTGAAATGAAAGCTAACGTGAAGAGTAATGTTAGTATGCTCCATTATAATCTAAAGGAACATTAAACAATTTTGCATTTATGTTAAAGATGATAACAAATTGTTTACAAAAAAATATTACATTCTACAACTTGGATTTAGTAAATACTACATTTCGTTTGTTCTGTTGCCATACTATTGCTTGAACATCCAACGGAAGATTCACATTTTTCCGCGAATTACTCTGTCCTCACTACTGAATTGCGTCCGTGTGAAAATGGAGACACATAGTTGTATCACTTTTATTTGTGCTCGCGACGATGGCTTTAAAGCAATTAAAATATAATATTAGGAATGGTATTTAATTCTTCGAAGTTTATGAGGTCATTTCCGCATTGGGTTGATTAAGAAAAAAACCTAATGAAACATATATGCGGATACATTGAGTACACAAAAGAAGCTGACAAATATGGATGGTTGTTTTACCTATTTATTTTGTCTGTTTCATGTTCTACTAAAGGAAATTTTAGTCAGCAAACGTATATAATGTAAAAACAACATTAGGCGTCTGGGCAAAATTTAGCATGAATCTCTATAAAAGCTTTCTTGACCTAACGCGATTTATGGTCAATTTGTTCAGACGCCTAGTGCTGTTATCACATTATAAACGTTGAATAAGTAAATTTTATCAACATGGAAGCGAAGGTCGATACTTGACAGGTAAACAGCCTTTACATTTTAAATTACGTAATTGTTTACGGAGGTATGTAGACATTGGTTGTGATTCTTAATTTGGAAAAAAAATACTTTCGACAACAAAATGACCAAAACATTANTACCTTAACCTGAACAACAGAGCATACACTAACCTGATCAACAGAGTATACCTTAACCTGACCAAGAGCATATCCTTAACTGAACAACAGAGCATATATTAACTAGATCAACAGATCATACACTAACCTGATCAACAGAGCATACCTTAACCTGAACAACAAATCATACACTAACCTGATCAACAGAGCATACCTGAACTTGAACAACAGAGCATACATTAACCTTATTTATGGGTCATACCTTAACCTTTACAATAGGTCATACCTTAACCTTCACAATAAGTCATACCTTCAACTTTTCAGTAGGTCGTACCTAAACCTTAGCAATTGGCTATATATAAACATTAACAATAGGTCGAACCTAAATTGTAACAACAGGTATACTGCAGCAATAATAATAGGTCATTCCTAAGCTGTAACAGTAGGCCATACCTAAACCTTAGCAATAGGCCATACCCTAACCTTTACAATAAGAATTATATAAATGTGCAAGATTGAAAACTTTCATTTACATTTGTTTATGATAATAAACAGTCTAAAACGCAAAACTTTTATCATCATAATTAATGTCGTCCAATTAAATATTTTAAGTGATTACTTCGACATTTTATTTAATAATCGAGTCCAAGATACAGTTTATGTATATTATATATACTTTGCACCAGTGATCATAAGTAACCGTTAATTAATTGCAGCAATGCACAGACAGAGGACTCTATTAATAGAACGTAACATGTACGTGCAAGTAAACAAACCATGGTTTTGAAAGCATACATACGTACATGAGTTCTAAAATGCTACGATATTGATCAAATATTTACCTACTATGATGCTATTTACCAGTGATTGATTTGTAACAAGCTGTGGTACAATGTAGATACATTGATTAACACTTTATACTCTACATACTTAGTGTTGCATACTTGCCGTTTGTTGTCTTGTAGTGCTGCTGCGAAGATTCTCAGAGGAATCTCACATACACGAGTTATACCGTACTTACTCTACATAACATACCAGCTGTAACAAGGGCGGACATTATAGCTGCCTTCAGTACTGAACACGTGTCGGAAAGTCTGCAAGCTTAATAAAACGATTTCCGGGTCAACATCAAAACTCAACTCATATTTTTTAAACTCTTTCGAAATATAGTCAATCACCCTAAGATAATAATGTTTATCAGTGTGGTTCAAATCAATAAACTGATTGAATTCATGGTTACATGAGTCAAAGAATCAATTCCCTGACATTGTCAGAATACTCAGGGATCTAAGTTGATACAAATTGGCCAGGTGCGTGTATTACCTGAAATAAATGGCCTTGGCCCATTTAAGTGGTCATGAGGGCCAAATATGCCAAAACCTTCACACAACGTCGTCTGCATAACCAAGATGTTTAGAAACTGTATTCTTATCTATGTTTCGGATAAGTATACGTTTGGACTTTTATCTTATAGTACCGTTTGTTAGTCGTTATTGTGTTATTTGGGCGAAATGGCAATCTGGTGTAGTAAAAGGTTGATTTTTGCATTGAGAGACTTTCGTTTGGTTTCTTACTAAGAGTTTCTTGTAATTAGTGTTTATTCTCGAAGTGAAATAATCGAACATTAATCAACCAAAGGTGTTAATTTTGTTTAAATCTTCTAATGTCAAGCAAACAATACATTCACTACTCGGATCAAGCTCATCACAAGTACCGACCTTCACTAAGTAACGTTTGTGCTGTTAGTCATTGTTATGTTTAATAAAATCAAAGTTGTTCACCGAGTGGCTATTTTTTCCCATAACTTACTATTCTTATGTGGTCTGATCTGCAATTTAAAATGACTCGAACGCTAAATGAGCCACAAATTGAAAATGCGCAATATTTAAAGTGTACCTTGAAAAAGAAGTGAACGTTTTGCATAGGCACCTGTTCAACATAATGGACATTGTGTGAGGTTTACGTAATGATATGTCGTCTGTGAATCTTATGTAACGATACAAAGTTCATAAATAAAGCATTGTCATTCATCAGGACAACGATAAAACAGTATCATATTAGAGTAATGTGAGTTACGTAGTTTATGACATACAAATTGAGAACACACTTGGGTTTTAAATCACCGTCAATAATACACATATACATCATTTACCCGGAATTTCAAAGTATTAATACATGCATGTTTATTCGTTATTTTTGTTTGAAGTTCATTCCGTTATGACAGGGAAACACTTTTCACGATACTTTGTGCTGTTCAATGATATATTTAAACGCGGTACGCAATATAACAAATGTATTATGATGACTATACATATGTATCATGCATTGCTAATATGTTATAAAAAAGGGTAAACGCAGCCTAGAAAAAATGTATTCAAATATGGTTATATATTAAATATAAAGTTAGCATCAACTCTGGTAAAGTTTTATTCTTTAACCTTTGGTCAACGGTATGATATATGACATATGACTGAAGCTGAGATGTCCATGATCAATAACCGGTCTATTGTTAACACTACTTTCTCGTCGGCGTTTTTTGTAAAGTAAAGATTGCAATCAAAACCTATTCATAAGATTTAAAAGATTTCTGACTAAACGAGGCCGCAGTAATCCTAACAATTATAGACCAGGAAGTCTATTCAATGAGACCCAGCGCTGTTATAATTCGTATTCGTTGTTTTTAAAGCGATACTCGTACACACTAGAAGGTGTACTATTCTAACTGATGACGTGTTGAGTTTTATTTGCTATATTCAGGACCATAGATGATGACCGATTCAAATGTTAACCACTATTGACAACATTCAAAATACCAATAAACAGCTCTATTCTGTTCTATTTTTTTTTCATTTTAACTCATTTCGTGTATCTGTATTGAATTTGAATTTCCCTATCACGTGATCTAGAATGGTAGCATAATATCTNTGCAGGTAAACGCTCACGCTGCCCAGTGTTAGTTACAATGGCGGATACTCCGAAACGCCAAAGGGAATCATCTCACTCGGATTTGAGTTTTGGAGAGAGTCCTATATTTGANTCGGCGTCTTATGTGAGACGCAGTTTTATGACAACATGGCGAGATCGGAGACCAGGATTCAAATCTTTCTTTGGACTTTTGCAATCCTTACATCTCTGTTTACGCCACTGGAAGCGTGGTCTGGGTAAGCCGATTTTTTTTTAAATATATTTATTCATAATTATAGATGCCCGTCCTTCAAATATTAATAATAATTGTTAATGAGGATTGATGTAATTTGTTCAATATATTTGTATATTAAGCTTTAAAATGATTATGTGTCTGAGAATGTGTTAGTTCAATATGAAGTAGGGTTGGAGTATTTACAAAATCATAACTTGGACAATAGGCAGGTTGTTCCTGCAAGGTTTTGAATTTCGCAAGCCGAATCAGCTCCTATGCTATTTTGTCCACGACAAAAGTACTCTATAACAATGATATTGTTTCCACGACAAAACTAGTTTGAAACAATGATATTTTGTTCACGACAAAATNGAACTGAAATGAAGAATTTCGTAACGAAAGAACAACACGATGCTGCTATAAAAAAAGTTAAGTACGAATTTCAAGTTAAAATGGACAATGTTACACTTCATCATCAAGAGGAGATGGGGAGGCTTGAAGGCCAGTTATTAGAAATAGAACACAAAAATAGAGAAATGGACAAAAAAATTNCAATGATATTATATCCACGACAAAACTACTCTGATACAATGATATTATATCCAAGACAAAACNAAAGCACTCTTCCCAAATCTTTGCAATTAATGGTGACACAAGAGATGTATTTNCAATGATATTATATCCACGACAAAACTACTCTGATACAATGATATTTTGTACACGACAAAACTACTCTGATACAACGATAGTGTATCCAAGACAAAACTACTCTGAAACAATAATATTTTGTCCACGACAAAACTACTCTGATACAATGATAGTGTATCCACGAAAAAAACTACTCTGATACAATGATATTGTATCCAAGACAAAACTACTCTGATACAATGATATGTTGTCCACGACAAAACTACTCTAAAACAATGATATTTTATCCGCGACAAAACTACTCTGATACAATGATATCATGCTCACGACAAAACTACTCTAAAACAATGATATTGTATTCAAGACAAAAATACTCTGATATCATGATATTTTATCCACACCAACACTACTCTGATACAATAATATTGTATCCACGACAAAACTTCTCTGATACAATGATATTATGCCCACGACAAAACTAGTCTGATACAATGATATGTTGTCAACGACAAAACTACTCTGATACAATAATATTATGCCCACGACAAAACTACTCTGATACAATGATATTATGCCCACGACAAAACTACTCTGATACAATGATATGTTGTCCACGACAAAACAAGCCTGATACAATGATATGTTGTCCACGACAAAACAAGCCTGATATACAATGATATTTTGTCCACGACAAAACTAGCCTGATACAATGATATTTTGTCCACGACAAACCTACTCTGATACAATGATATCTTGTCCACGACAAAACTAGCCTGATACAATGGTATGTTGGACACGACAAAACTAGTCTGATACAATCATATGTTGTCCACGACAAAACTAGCCTGATACAATGATATGTTGTCCACGACAAAACTAGCCTGATACAATGATATGTTATCCACGACAAAACTAGTTTGATACAATGATATGTTGTCCACGACTAAACAAGCCTGATACAATGGTATGTTGTCCACGACAAAACTAGCCTGATACAATGATATGTTATCCACGACAAAACTAGTTTGATACAATGATATTTTGTCCACGACCAAACTAGTCTGATACAATGATATGCTGTCCACGACAAAACTAGCCTGATACAATGATATTTAGTCCACGACAAAACTAGTCTGATACAATGATATCTTGTAAACGACAAAACTAGTCTGCTACAATGATATGTTGTACACAACAAAACTAGTCTGATACAATGATATGTTGTACACGACAAAACTAGTCTGATACAATTATATGTTGTACACGACAAAACTAGTCTGATACAATGATATGTTGTACACGACAAAACTAG